AGTTTTAAAACTGAATTTACCATTTTTAGTGACCATCACCTGCTTATTAAGGACTAATTCACAGTAATGCTTTAATATTACTTTGTTACTACACTTTTATTTGTAGATTTGAATCCTTCTGCTTAAAACACAACCTGCAAAAATTGTATCTAACAGTGTAGCTGAAAGCAGCTTTTGCTATTTCCCAATAAGGCTTTCTCTAGTAACAGTATAACCTCACAGTAGCCCTGGCTGCACCACAGAGTGCTTTGCACAGTGGCTGGTGTGTCAAACACGCCCCAAAATACAACTGGATAATGCTTTCTTAAACCGAGGGCGACAGAAACGACCCTGCCCTTGAAAAATTGGGGCTTTCTCTTGGCAGCGGCTATGAAGAATACACGACAGGAAACCAAAATGAGACTTTGCAAGTGAGAAACAAGCCCACACTGCTGCATGACATGAGCACCATGTTCCATGGTGGCAAGAAACAAAGTTTCAGCTGGTGTACTCGGTGTTTGTAAAAGATCCAACAGCATTTTTAGGTCAGAGATTACTGAGTGCAATCTCAGACTCAACAACAGAGCGCGGAAATGTTGAGTATCTTAGGGTCTAAGTTTGGAAACGGGTTTCTTTTGCCACACACACTTGTGATTTCTTTCCTCTTCCGGTTACATTTTCAATACAATAAACAATGCATCGTACTAAAGATAAGAATTAAGAGTTAAACCCACCTCGTCGGGAACCATAACCAAAGGATACTTGTCTTCAGAGAGAAAATTAAAAAGGCACCAGAGACGAAAAGCATCTTTGTCTGGTAAAATGGTGCTGCTGCTTCGGTCTGGCTGGTAGTTTTTCTTCGCAGTAAGAGTCCAGCAGAGCTCGTCTACGTTTTCCTTAATAAAAGAACCTTCCACAACCTACAAAGACACAAGACCAGGGGTTTTATTTCGCAATACGCTGAAATAAACTGAGCACACTTGTTGGGGGTTTTTTAATCACCTTATCCAGGATGTATTTATTGAGGTAAGGCATATAACCCTGACTGGAAACTGGGCCGTCATCGTCATCCCTGAAGTGCTCCTCCAAAGCCACGGGGTCATGTGGAATACACAAGACTGTGCACAGGTTGTGAGACAATACCTGAAGGATCACAATATGAGGATATTTAAAAAAGAAAAACACTGAAGCAGAAAGTCATTTTAGATCTCGTTGTCCAACACAGGACTGTGCAAACTGTTTTATTTGTTGTCCTGTGAGGCTGCTAACCGCATCCGCCTACAAATTAATAATTAAGCGTCTAAAAAAAGGAGATTACACGTCATGAGTTAGGAAGGATGAAACTTTCTGTAGAATATAAAAGCTGAGTGACATGATGTATAGATATATTTATATAGCTGGCTGCTGAAGAGAATGAAGGCCAGGGACGTGTTTAAGGAACTGAACTTTTAAATTTCTGCTGCATCGTTTTTTCTAAAAAAAAAAAGTGTTTGCTCAAACATGGAAAAAAACGCGTCACCAAAGTCAGCAAAAAGCTTTAATTTTCTAGGAAAGCTGCCTGGAAAACCGTTCAGACGCACTAGTTTAAGAGTGGAACGACATCAGTAAAGCAATATGACCGTTTTAAAGTTTAAAAAGATGAAAATCGAGCTCAGGAAAACATCTCCAAGTTCTATTAGAAACTTCAAGTGCTACACTTTACTCTTTGTGAGCAGTGGCATCACTGACAGCATGTGAAAAACAGTTAGATTAAAAAAAACGCTTTTCCTTCTTGTTCTGTTTCTTCAGCTGAAACCATGCAACATCTTGAGGTATCGTGCATTTTATCAGACAGCTAGCTTCTCTGTGTGTTGAGCCATAACCACATCCTGTCGCCAGTCTCCAACGCTACAACATCTGTCAGTTTTGAGGCCAAAGCATGCAAAGTGTTTGCCTGCGAGTGCCTCTGAGCAGAGCGATGCCTCAGAGAAGGCTGAAGGCACGAGGGGGGATAAGCCCAGTCATGAGGCTGACTCGCTGAGAGCCAGGAGCGCCGGGCGGCACATTCGCAGGAGCGTGGAGGTGGCTGGAAATGGAGTCTGAGCCACAGCGAGACCGAGTGACATAACAATGAGATCAACGCAACATACAGTAGCCTCGTTTAGGCTCTGTGGAAAGAGACAACGGTCACCAACATGTGTCCACTTTATCCCTGCTCGCCCTGTGACAATGTCCTTTTTGACGTGTTCGGCCTCATGTTGTGAACCTACTCTATTCAACAGGCTGCTCTCTGGCCCGCTGCTGTGCCAGAGGGTCCCTTTGCACTACAAGCTGGTACATGGAGGCCCAATGTGAGCACAGCTTGGAGATGAGGGCTCCCATTCATGTACAGACTGAGAGCAAACTGTTACTCTCGTGCTCGCGCCGGACAGAGGTGCATATTGTGCCCTCTTTCAGCAGCTGAAAGCATTTTATTCAAAATAGGGGGAACAAAATTGTTCCTTGTTGGGCAGTACACGGCTGAAAAAAACTGAGTTTTACACAGGAAATGTTAATGATGATGATGTTTTCTGATAAGTAGTATGAGACATTGCACACCATTATTTCCTGACACATAAACACATAGTAAAAGTAGTAAACCTTGAGATTTAATTTGCTTCGTTGCTAAAATTGCTTTCACCTCCTTCACACCCAGCCCGCATGATGTAAAATGCAACGAGGTAGGAAACGAGGGTAAACGGTAAGAGATGAGTGAGTTCTCGGGCAGGAAAAAAAAAGTTTCTCTAGTTCCATCTTCCAGGTAGACGATCCCTCACTCACCTTCAGCTGAGACTTGGACACTTTCCCGCTCTTCTCCAGATCCAGGGCTGTGAAACCATACCAGATGGATTTAAGCAGCTCAGACCGCAAGTCCATGTCTGCTGCAGCGTTATTTTCTGGTTTCCTCCTCTACGTCTCTTCTTCTTCCCTCTACTGTTGACACGGGTGACAGGCAGACACCCACGCTGTGCTGCTGCTTTCAGGCAGGCATGGGGCTTTACTGTTCTGCTGGCAGCGGCACCTGCTGGATTACAGTGGTCAGTGATGAAGGGAGGGTCTCGCTGTTTACCGCAGCTTCAGATCTTGCCCTGCAGTGGCAGAAGCGTTTTAATCCATTGCCTAGAAATCTACAAGTGTCTTGCTAGGTTTAGTAGTGTACTTATGCACCTGTGCAAAAAGTGTTGTTATTACACTTTTATATTTTTAATATTCTAAAGTTATATCACTGATTTACTGAAAATCTCCATCCCCTTCCTGTGCACCTTGGACAGAAAAT